AGACAAACCGCGGGGGTGGGGCGCATATAATTGATAGATAGATAGATATGCATAGATAGGGTAAGTATGCTAGGTATGTAAGTACAGGGGTTAGGATTAATATTATGATATATGTAATATGTATAGATTTAACTAATATAATATTTGAAAATATTTCTTAGCATTCCTTAATATTCCTTAACTAAAATCAAATATGCAAATGCCTATTTCTGAGCAACCTGATGGTGTAGACCTTTGACAATTCAAACTTAGCTTAGTTGATATAACTTAAAACTTTATCAACAGCTGATTTGGAAAATCCAAATCCAAATGCTAAACTACAGAAAATCAAGTCTTTGCAAAAAAGGGNTACTAGCCGCTACCGAAATTGTGGGTTAAAAAATATCGAAATGTCTTTTTTATTGAAGCATAAAATATATTATTAATTTTGTTGTTTTTTAATGAATTGAAACATGATTTTAATCCATGATTATTTCAAAACATTAAATGAATTAAATAAATAAAAAAAATTAAATTACTGAATAACTAAATTTAAAGCTTAATTAACTAAATAAATTTGAAACAAATTGAATTAATTGTAAGATTTAAATGAATTAAAAGAATTATATTTATTAGAATTTAGAAATATTTAAATGAATTTTGTTAAATAATGAATTATGAATAATTATGAAAATAAATGAAGAAAAAATGAAAAGACGATATCTTTGAATAGATAAAAAAAATGCTAAAACCTGCAGGATGAGTGAATGGAATATTTACAATGTCTCATGAGTGGATGAGTGGAAGGATGAATAGATGAATAATGTAAAGGGAGAGAGGCGGATGATGGATGGTATGAAGTGAGACCAAGGGATGATAATTTAAAGGAAAAGGTTTGAAATCAGTCAAAGTTTTTAGATAAATAGATGGTGTTTAGGGTACCAATGCACATCGCATATATGCCTATTTATTAGAGCCAGGCTATGGGGGGAGGGGGGAGATAAGGCTCCTCCCCCTTTTCTAAAAAATGACCCCGCATCTATTTATTTTCTTTTTTTTTAAATATTTTATTAAATCTAGAATATCAGTAGATTTAAGAAAGTTTTTTGAACATGTACAATTGTACATTGTTCATTGTACATTGTACTTGCATGAATTATATGGATACGTACGCTGTACCTAAACCTTTTATCAGGCTTTTATGCATACTATTCTAGCTATAATAACGGTAAGTTAAAAGAAACGAAACAAATAATTTATTTTAAAAAATGTTTTGTGTGAAAGAAACTAAAAAAAAATGAGAAAACTGTCATTTTTAAAACATTGGATTATGAAAATGAACAAATTTAAAACTATTTACAAACACCGAGTATTTTACATATTTTGCCGATATGTACTTGAAAACTTATTCCTTGGTGTATCCATGCACTTAGGACTCAAAAGGTTTGAAGCATACTTAAGGGACTATAAACTTAATTTCAAGTGACCTTCCAAGCAAAGATACAATGCCTTAATAGCATTGTCAGATTGAGTATGTAGAAGATATGTTAATAGTTCTAAAAATTTTATATTTTCAATTGAAGCATGACTTTCTAAAGGGAGAAAACATATAGGAATACTATTAAACCTAGAAAAACGACAACTTATCATACAAAGGTTTCAAACTGTGCTTGGGATCCATTCAATTTTTATGCGGATCCGGATCCTGGATCCGCACTGGAAAAAAATGGATCCGGATCCAGGTCATTTCTTTGCAGAATCTTTTTTAACAAAAAATAATTTATAATTTATTTTGTTTTATTTTTTCCCCTTATTTTATCCTAAAACTTGATGAACCATTCAGAAATGAGGAAATTTTTAAAATCTCTCTTTTTTCAAAAATTCAGATTTGGGTTTTATTAGTAAAAAAGTTTTTTTTGCAGTTTTTGGTTGATATTTTACCCCCCGGATCCGGATCCTGAGCACTGGTTTCAAAGGTACCGTTGTGAATCGGACATGGCCATCTTTGGATGGAGAATCAGTCCCTTTAACCACATATTGAACTAGAAAGGACCTGCGGGCCTGAACAGCCTAGAATATCCTTTGAAATGCTAATTCCTTTTGTTCCATAAGCTTAAACACTGAAATATCTCTTTAGATCATAAATTCAGGGTGCAGCGCACCACAATATTCTATGTTTTCTCATACAGTGGTAGTCAGAGTAAATTGGAGTTAACTGAAACCAATCTACAAATTGTATTTATTTCAAAACAAACGCTAAAAAATTAACACAGTTAATAATCGTAAGGTACCCTATATTTTAAGTAGTATTCTAATTTTTTTTAATCGGTGAATTCCACAATATTATGGAGACCAATGTAGATTTATAAATTTTCCAATTTTCTATAGTCCCAATTCTAGTCTCATATATAGTGACAATTCTAGTCTAATCTATAGTGCCAATTCTAGTCTAATATATAGTAATTCTAGTCTAATCTATAGTACCAATTCTAGTATAATATATAGTCTCAATTCTAGTCTAATTTATAGTGACAATTCTAGTCTAATCTGTAGTGCCAATTCTAGTATAATATATAATAATTCTAGTCTAATCTATAGTACCAATTCTAGTCTAATCTATAGTGCCAATTCTAGTCTAATATATAGTAATTCTAGTCTAATCTATAGTCCCAATTCTAGTCTCATATATAGTGACAATTCTAGTCTAATCTATAGTGCCAATTCTAGTCTAATCTATAGTGCCAATTCTAGTCTAATATATAGTAATTCTAGTCTAATCTATAGTACCAATTCTAGTATAATATATAGTCCCAATTCTAGTCCAATTTATAGTGCCAATTCTAGTCTAATCTATAGTGCCAATTCTAGTCTAATCTATAGTACCAATTCTAATCTAATCTATAGTGCCGATTCTAGTCTAATATATAGTCCCAATTCTAGTCTAATCTATAGTGCCAATTCTAGTCTAATCTATAGTCCCAATTCTAGTCTAATTTATAGTGCCAATTCTAGTCTAATCTATAGTGCCCATTCTAGTATAATATATAGTCCCAATTCTAGTCTAATCTATAGTGCCAATTCTAGTCTAATCTATAGTCCCAATTCTAGTCTAATCTATAGTGCCAATTCTCGTCTAATATTTAGTCCCAATTCTAGTCTAATCTATAGTGCCTATTCTAGTCTAATCTTTAGTCCCTATTCTAGTCTAATATATAGTGCCAATTCTAGTGTTATATATATAGTCCCAATTCTAGTATAATGTATAGTCCCAATTCTAGTCCAATTTAAAGTCCAAGTTCAAGCCTATTTAAAAATCCTAGAAGATAAAAACACTGAGCGTTCTAATTGTTAAGTGACCCACCATTTAGATAGGGACATGCCAAATTCACAACGATACCCTTGAAACCTTAAGTTGATCAATCAAGGCTAATCTATTCATATTTGATCAGCCAAAGAGTACCGTTGAGAATAGGACATGCTATAAAAGGTGGGTCACTTCAAATTACGTTTACAGTCCCTTTAAATCTTAATCCTTGTGTCTAAATAACTTCTAAGTAAAGTAATTAGTCATATAAAAAGTTTCTTGAATTCAACACCGGTAGAATATAACTTGAAGATAATAGCTTACATAACAGTTTGTTGCTAATAATATTTAGAGATCAAACGATAACGGGATGCTTAAAAAATTTTTTTTAAAACAAAATCTTTGAAAAATGAAATAATGAAATAAAATAAAAAGGTTTAAAAAAAAGTGTCAAAGCCTAATGTAGTTCAACTACGTCTCCTGAACCAGACCAAGTGAAGTGTCTAAGCCTAATGTAGTTCAACTACGTCTCTTGAACCAGATCAAGTGAAGTTACTAAGCCTAATGTAGTTCAACTACGTCTCCTGAACCAGACCAAGTGAAGTGTCTAAGCCTAATGTAGTTCAACTACGTCTCTTGAACCAGACCAAGTAAAGTGTCTAAGCCTAATGTAGTTCAACTACGTCTCTTGAACCAGACCAAAAGTGTCTAAGCCTAATGTAGTTCAACTACGTCTCTTGAACCAGACCAAGTGAAGTGTCTAAGTCTAATGTAGTTCAACTACGTCTCGCTATTCATGACAATCAGTCCACTGGATTTTAAGTTTGGATACATTTTTGTAGTTCAACTACGTCTCGCTATTCATGACAATCAGTCCACTGGATTTTAAGTTTGGATACATTTTATTTAAAACCAGTGCTTAGGGACCAATTAATTTTATTGCGGATCCGGATCCTGGATCCGCACTGGAAAAAATTGGATCCGGATCCGGATCCAGGTCATTTCTTTAAGATTTACAGAATTTTTTTAACAAAAAATAATTTTCAATTATTTTGTTTTATTTTTTTTTCGCTTCATTTTATCCTAAAACTTGATGGACCATTCAGAAATGAGGAATTGTTTATAATCTCTCTTTTTTCCAAAAAATGCATTTGGGGTTTAGGAGTAAAAGTTTTTTTTGCAGTTTTAGGTTGTTACCCATTGGATCCGGATGTCCGCATATTTTTGCGGATCCGGATCTGGACCCAGGAAGCCAAAATCTTGCGGATCCAAGGGATCCGGATCCTAAGCACTGTTTAAAACACTTTTATCCTTTATTCACAGGAATAACTTGTATGGAAAACACTGATTGACTTTGATGTTATAAATTGAATAAAAGGATTTATAAATATTAAAAAAGGGGAGAATTTACAGAATAAACAATGGTCAATGGCTTCGCTATGACAAAGTAAAATTATTGCGAAAAAAACGTCAAAATTCACGAGAAAAAAAATAATACAATTTTGTTCGCTTCAAATTACTGAAAAATCAAAGTTAACTCTAGATCCTATTAAGGTTCATAAAACAACATGTTTTTCAAACACTAAATTTTAAGTTTCGCTCATAAATAATCTGGTTTAAGGGTGGTGGATGAGGGGTGGGGGGGGGTCACCAAGAAAAATAATTTTTTGAAAAATTGCGAGAAAAAATGAGAAAACAACAAAAAAGTAACCCGAACCTGTTCTTTTAAAACTCTGACAGCGTCGAGCAAAAAAGCTCGATGGTGAGCTGAAAGGACACCGATCGCATCGAGATCGGCCGGCCCTATCTTTTTTACTGTCTCGAGATCGTCATAGCCATTGTCGATGAATCCATGACTATATTGACCGAGCTGAAGAAATTCAAGCCATTCCACAACTATATTAGGGACATCGGATCCGTCCAAGGGGCTATTTAGGGACACAAGGGACTGTAGGGCCATAGCCATACTTTAAATCACTGGACTGCTATGAACCTCGTAATAAGCAAACCATCACTTTTAACTATATTTAATTACTCTGAAAATGTGTGCTCTCACTTTGGAAGTTGATGGTAAACTAATGAAAGATTGAGACTAGCTGGCGCGGTCCGCCCGGACACATTGGGTTCAGGCAGAGCGGGCCATGAATGGGTTCCGGACCGGTCCGACCAGCAGACGAACATGCGCGGGATCTTGGTGGACAACAGGTGAGAGTTGGGGAAATGGGTGGTTTTCAGGGAGGGGGGGGGGGAAGGAGGGTCTACCTATACAGTATACTTTCAGGGATTTAGATATTCACAAAAAATGTCATCAACTTATCTGTTGTCTGGACGTGAGAAACAAATGAAGAAAAACTTGAATAATAACTATTGTGAGAAAATGATCTTGAAAGATGGAGAAAAATGTTTTGTAAATCCATCAAACTACTACCTGGACCCACAATAGACCAACAAACAGGAGGGGGGAGTAGATAGATAGATAGATAGATAGTAGGATAGATGGATTGATAGATAGATAGAAAAAATAATTTAGGCTAATTCAGCATAGAAAGATAGATAGATAAATATGTAGATAGATTAATAGATAGATAGATAGATAGATAGATAGATAGATAGATAGATAGATAGATAGATAGATAGATAGATAGATAGATAGATAGATAGATAGATAGGTGGATAGATATAGACAAATATATAGATATATATTAGATATGTAACAAATGCCTTACTCCAATAGTTCTTTAAGTATGTATCAATCCAGATACAACTCTCTCCAACTCTATACTCTCTACCAGGAACTTATACGTCTGACCGTAATAAAACAGAGTTTATATCCAACTGAATATATTTTGTGTATACAGGTAAATATGAAACTGACCGTTAGTTCTGTTCCGAGATTAACGAAGCGTCGAACATAGGTGTATATACAAGACACATGAATTAGGGTTTTTACTATATCTATTACAGATATATAGATAATAGATAGAAAAATAACCCAAAATTATGGGATGGGGGCATGGTTAAGTTGACATTCTGAATATGCCCTTGGGCCTGGGCTATATGTTAGGGACCTGACATGGTCCAGAGGATTGTTTATGGTCGGTCTAAATTACAGCTATATTTTCCTTAATTTGTATAAGCAACCTTTGGGAAGTTAAGATTATTACAGGAAAAAAAGGAGACTATAGGGCTGTGCTTTATTTTACTAAGCAGATTCATTTAAATATATTTATGTAGCCCTCACAGGTTTTTGAAAAATCTTTGATAAAAATGTTGTTTTGCCTTCTGGAGTAAATAAGTGATATTTAAGAATTAGACCTTATTATCAGACAAATGAAAAAATCTATATAATCACAACAGGCCAATTAGGTTGTTGATAATTTCGGGGTATTTGATATCTTTTTGAGGCTGAAAGATTGACAAATAAAAAAGTCCAATTATAATTTTTTACTGGATAATTGGAAAAATCGATAAAATCACAACAGGCCAATTAGGTTGTTATTAATTTCGGGGTATTTGATATCTTTTAGAGGCTGAAAGATTGACAAAAAAGTCCAATTAAAGAACTTTTTACTGGATAATTCTAAAAATCAATAGAATCTGCAGAAATAACGATGATTGAATGCTTTATATCTTCTCTCTTATAAGAGTAGAAGTATTATTATAGGTGTTAGTATTAGTATTAGTATTAGTATTAGTATTATTATTAGTATTAGTATTAGTATTAGTATTATTATAAGTATTAGTATTAATTTTATTGAATTATTGTTATTCTTTTTGTTGTTTTAATTTAATTAACTTTCAAAATAAATATCTTAAAGTAAAAATCTTCCTTTGTCAAAAATGAGTTATGAACTGTCCAATTATCAGTTTCGTTTGGCTGAAATTCTACAATTACAGAAAATGATATTACTATATTATTATATATTATCTCATACATATATATATAAGAACCAAACCTGCAATGTAAAATGGTCTGATTCTCTATCCCATGGTTTTCAAGCAACAAATGGAGTAAGACAGGGAGCTCGGTTAGTTCTCCGATATTATTCTGATTTGATAAAACAGTTGAGATTATCTACGATTGGTTGTCAAATACAAGGTATATACCTTGGAATATGGGTTTATGCTGATGACATAATTCTTCTGTCCCCAAGTAGAAATGGGTTACAGGAAATGACAAATATATTTGAGAAATTTGCACTAAATCGTAAACTGAAGTTTAGTACAAACGTGAACATCAAATCCAAGACTAAATGTGTTATTTTCAATAAATCTAATATTGATAGTAATAATGTATGTCCGATTCACACTGTGGATATAGCAAATTCCTCGTAGCAATATGTTGTGAGATAGAGGACGACATTTAATTCATTCAATGTCGGAGATGCTATATCAATTAAACTACTGACAATCTGAACTAATGTTGAATTCCTTTTTTTTACGTCACCATATCGGTAATAAAAAAGCATTTAACATGCTTTTAATTTTTTCAGGTTATTCAAATTAGGTTAGTATTGATCATTAATTCAATCCTCATACACAGAAAAGTCTAACATTATCAAATTTAATCAAACAAAAAATTAATAATTTATTTTTAAACATTATAAATTAAAGCTGTTTAAATGAGTTACTGCCTTTATGCAAATGATGATAATTATTTTGAACTGATACGTCTTAAAAAAAAATCTAAATAATATTTGGCTTTCCAAAAATACAGGGTTGGTAAAAAAATAAGATAAGTGTTGTTTTACAACACTAAATTTTTTAGGAGAATTTATATTTCAGAAAAAAAATGAAATCAATGCTAACCTAACATTTTAAGCAATCAAAATTCAGTTTATAAGAATTATCATCATTTACCCCAAACAGTTTTTTTGACTGGTTTGAACATTCTTTGTCCTTAATGTTGTACATGGATTTCTCCATCCTCTTGGCCAGTTCCTGATGCATTGCCTCAACGTTTTGATCCTAGGCCATACTAAGACCAAATCCTGTCTTGCTTATATACTCTGGTATATGGTCAACCAGAATATGTACCTTGTTGAAAAAAACTGAGCTTAATGTTTGGATTCTCTTGTAGTTTGGTCCAAATCATCTTAAACTCAATGATTTTCTTCTGCCACCCAACTTTTGGATATTTTCCACAAACAAGTGCTCTTAACTCCTGAAGTACGCATTTGTTAGACTCATTTTTGGAAATTTATTCATATTATAGATTGGGGGAGGGGGGGGGGGTATTCTTTTCTTTTAGCTTTCATTTGAGACTTTGAATTTGCTGACTTACTCACATTTCAGAGAAAGATTTAATATAAACATGTTTTACCTTGATCTTTTCTAAAACTGAAACTAAATCCAGGTATTCAGGAGGTACAGTTTCATACAGAAGAGAGAGATTATTCAAAATCCGCCGAACAGTGTTTCAATCAAAACCATGGTCATTGTACGGATCCCTTACATAGCCCAATGACTTGAAAACTGTTGCCACTGAAGGAACCAAATCTGCAAGCTTTTAAAAAACTTGGTTTGGTGGACCTGAATCAATGATATGAAGACCAGGTGGTGCCACATGATCTAGAAGAAGGGCATCATCTTCAAGCTTTAAAATCGGACCAAACTCAACATTTTTGTAAAATTTCAGCTTTTTTTCTGTCAGAATCAGTTTCTTCTTTCCATTTGGTTTGATTTTCTTTCAGGGACTTTACTGACCTAGGGGATCCCTTTATCCATTTTCCAGTTTCTCTATCCTTATTACACTCTCCAAAAACACAAGGAAACTTGCAGGAATTGGTTTGAAGTCCAGAAAGAATGCTATTCATTTTACAATCATTTTTCAACTTGAGTTTTTTCAAAGAACATTGCCACATTTGAATAGTTTTCAGCACAACCTATCACAAATCCTTTTTTTGCCCCTGTAGACATGAAGGATTGTTTTGTTTCTTCATTTTTGTTCACACAATTCAGTGTCATGATCAATTTGCCTTTTCCATTGTCTATACCAACTACCATTTCACAGTCCTTCTTTTCAATACTTCTCAAATCACAAATAAAGTTTACTAATCCAGTAATATCTTCACAATAAACAAAACTAGTTTTAAACTTGTCACCATCTTTATTTATAAATTCAATTCCTTCGGTGTTAATATATTGGTCTAGACTTCTTTTCCTGTTCCTGAGCTTTTCCTTTATTTTTGGGGTTATTATGTTTCTTCCAAATTCTTTTCTCATTCTTTCCAAAATTGCTAAAATTTGCCGGTCAGTGAGATTTCCAGCCTTAACCATGTGAAGAACTTCACTCTCTGAAAACTGAACAGTCTGAGTTTGGGAAGCTTCCCTCTTTTTGTGTATGGTTTTTAAATGGTGCGAAAGAGTAAATGTCATATTGCAAAGAGAACAAACTACTTTTTCCGCATTTTCATTGTGTTTCACCTTGATGTGTTCATTCAAACTTCTGGAACTTGAATATTCTTTTTCACATTTCTGACACTTGAAAGTTTTAACAGCATGGCTTTTCTTGTGTTTTATCAGACTTGCATGGATAAATTCTTTGTTGCACGCAAACATCACACGGATATAATTTCTTTTTGGGGACGGTGACCTCATTGTTATTTTCAAAAATGCATAATGAGCACCAAACTTGAGCTTTTATTGGTGTTTCTTTTTAATGTAAAAGGAAGTGATCTTCTTGTTTTATATCTATTATCACACTGAGTGCAGTCAAACATTTGTTTGTTTTCATTGTGCTGGTCTTTATTGTGAGAATAAAGAGATTCAGGCATAGAGAATAGAATATATATTAGAGGGGAATTTACTAGAAAAAAGTGTAAAACGGTCATTTTGTTGTACTGTTTCCATACTGCAGGTGTACTTCACATATTTATGCCATATAACCTTTTGGGCCCTGGAATATCATTTTATAGAAAATCTCAAATTATTGTTAAAAGAAAACCAAAATGAAATAGGCTGGTTTCATAATTGACCAATGATCATTTCACTTAGACTCTATGCCTTTCACTTTACAAACGATGATTTTCCGTTATAACTTTTGCCGGAATGGCAAAAAAAGATTATTGGTTTGGTAAAATTTTGGAGGGGAAGAAAGGAGATAGGGGGGAATGATGTAGATGAAGT